CAGGTATTTTAAGATTTATCACCATTGTTTGAAAATGATATGACACAAATAAGGGAGCAATATGTAAGGTTTTTTGTACAAAAAAATTATGATACTTATGAACTATAAAAATGTAATTAGTTTTGTGTAATTTTTGTTGTTGTATTTAATAGATATTTAAATTTTTTGTTAGCTAGATACATATTGATGTACTTTAATAATTATATATAATTACGTTGTAATGTAGATTGTTGGATTATATATAGAAATATTTTTTATATAGGTTTTGAGTGTTAAATAAAAACAAAACTAAGGTGGATCTTACACCACCAAAGTAAATTTATGTTGAGTAATGTACCACTTTATGTAAAATTTGGCATTTATTAAATTTTTTTATCAAACTATTTTACATCTACTCATTTACATGTCTAACATAAATTTACGTTAGTTCTTCTACACTACAACATAAATTTATGTCATTTAAATTAGCCGATGTAAATATTTATATTTTGCATTCATGTTAAATCTTGAATTGACGTAAAAAGTAAAAAATAACATATATAAGATGACCTATCTCAACTAGTGTAATGATGAATTCCTATTTTTTTTCTAAAATAAAAATCTTTGAGAAATTGGAGAAAATAATACCTATTAGTTGAGAAGAAAATACAATAGTCATAGTCCATACTTTTCCCATGTACCTCGTATTTATCTAAAATAACAATATTATTAAATATATTTTGGAAAACTCATTTTAGGAATGAGTTCCATATTGTTTTTCAAACTGTATTTCTGGATTTTATTTTTTAGAAATATATTTTAGAAAGTTGATTTCAGAACATTTACGAGAAATTTTCAGAATTTGTCTGAAATATATTTTTGGAAAACATAATCCAAAAATAGTTATATTATGTTTTTCAAAATTTATTTTTAAATTATTTTTTTGGAAATGTATTATGGATTTAACCATCTATAATTTATTTTTGGATTATATTTCGAAAAACACAATTTAAAAATGAGTTATAACTTGTTGAATCCCGAATACATTTGCAGATTGTATTTTTCAAAAATGCATTCACGATTCAACAATTAGGAACGCCACAAATACCAGTCAAATGCACTTTTTTTTATAGAATTTTTGGATACACATCATATACGATTTAAGGTATAAATCATCAACAAATTTCTAACTTTAAAGTGAAAATGATGGGGTGCAGTAGAAGCAGCAAATGAAAGTGTAGATGCTGGTACGAAATAGGAAAACTGACTTTAAGAACATTTTTGACATTTTATATAAATTATAGGGTGCAGAATAAATTATTGGGTGCAAGAAACAACCTTAATTTGTTTAACAAAGGCCAATATCGGCCCAAACATGCATTTTTGAAATTATGGGCTTAGTTTTGACCCATGGACCAAACGTGCTAGTCTAGCAAGCCCAAGTTTTCTTTTAGCTTTTGTTCGAAAACTAATTTCTGAAACATATGTTAGAAATATGTCAACATCTAGAAATTGATTTCTAGAATTCAGTTTCATAATAATCTCAAAACTAAAATTCAGGATTTTGTAAATTTAATTACATTAAAAAATTATTTTTCAGAATACATAATATTTCATTGTTTTTTTAAATTTAGTTTATGAAATCTTATATAAGAATAATTTTAGAAACTAAATTTAAAAATTGATTTAATTTATTTTTTGACTGTTAAATACTATGCATTAAAAATATTTTTTAGTAACAACTAAGCTATGAGATGCACTTCATGTTTCCTTTGGGTCATATAATAAAAGATAAGAAACCCCTTAAAACAAATAATTGTCTTTTACCTTTTTTTTAATTATATAATTTTTCTTCGTTCTATTATAAAGTTTTATTATTTATATATATATATCTTTTTTAATTTTAATTTTTATTACAAAAAATATTCTACAATAATTCGTTTTTATTTTATTTTAACCTTATACCATTTACAATATCTATCTATTATTTAAATATTAACATATTGATATTGATAGATGATAGTTTTTTATATACACTTTTAACCCATTTTTTAATTAACATAATAAATTATTATCTTTACTAATAGTGAGATATTAAATTTAAATTTGATTGAAAATATTTTAAAATATAGCTTTATTTGAATAATAGAATGCAAAATACAAAACTATATAATAATTGAATGTAAAATATATAATTAAAATCATTGGTTTGAAAATTAAAAAAAAATCTAATTAATAATTTTTTTGTCATTTTATATTCCTCAATCAACTACTTTAATATATAACTTTAGTAAATGTAATAAGCTACTTTAATGCTATCTACCAAACTTCAACTGCCAACTTTTCGACCTAATTTTCAGTTTCTGCCAAACATAGCTAAGATGAATACAAAAACACTGTGTTCAAGTGTTATTTATTAAAAGTTGTATTCTAAATTAGTCTCTATCATGTAGAGAGTAATAATTTAATTTCTAATATCAATATTTTTACTACTCCAACATTTTAATGAGGGTTAATATTTTTAATGACAATTTAAAAAAATGTTGATGTAATTGTCGTTAAAATTAATATTTTCAATGATAGTTGATAATCAAAATTTGAATGTGGAACATGCGAATTAAAATAGGAATCATTATCGTACATGTACTTTTCAGAAAATTATTTCAATGAAGATGATGTCAATGAAGATTTCAACGTGGACTTTAATATTGGATCAAATGTTCTTCCAACATGAACCTATATTTCATATTTTCACAACAAATTATAGACTATAAAAATAAAAGTTCGAGAAAACATACCTTGATTATGAGAGAACAAAGTGATGAGAAAAAGAAAGATGCGTCATGTGAAGAGCAATAGATTCAACGACAAAAGACATGAAAAACACCAAAAAAAAAAATGATAGAGTGAGATGTAATGTTGTGTGACATGATGATGCAACAAGCAAAAGAAAGAGACACGGTTGAAAGAAAATTACCTACACAATAAAGAAAATGCAGCATTAGATCATATTAAAAAAAATTATAATTATATACGATTATTATTATTTTAGAATCGTTTTTAAAAAGTTTAATTTATTTATAAAAATGCCATTAATTTTTTTTAATAATTTCCAAATAAATCAACGTTGTAAACAGTAAAACTATTATTAAGGGAAAAATAATATATTATAAATAAATAATAAATAAATATAAAAAATAAAAATATGAAAGAGTGTCAAATTTATGAATAATTATTTAAAAAATAAAAATCATATAAAAATTTAAAAATAATCATTAATTTTAAAAGACTAAAATGATAAATATTAATATAAATTAAAGATTTCATCCATTCCTCGTCTTCCAAGATCTATTGAAGAAACCCTTTATGATTTATATGTGTACTTCTAAATTTCTCACTTTCTCAACTGAAATCTTAAATTACTTTAAATATGTAAAACATTATTACTGTTCAAGAATCAAGATGCGAACCTCCATCTACTTCTTCAATGGCATTGAATGAGCATCACAGAATATACCACCAAGTTTTCTTATTTTCATGGAACACATAAATATAAGAATGCATTAAATCAATAATTTATAGTTTGCATGTGTGTAAGTGATTCTTTGAAAGAAACTATTATGTTTCCTAACAATTCAAGAATCACACTTATGCAAATGAAATTTTTCATTCAAAATTACTGTATTTCAAACTCGGACAAAAACTTTCTATTTAACCGGTTTAGAAATTAATATAATATTTTTAAATAATTAAATTTCAATTTAATCAGAATAAAATAAAATAAAATAATTAATTGAATTTATTTTATAATATTTTAAATAATAATAATATTTATAACAATAAATATATAAGTAATAATAATTATTATATTAATAATTATTTTAATAATAAAAATAAAAATAATAATTATTATTATATTCATAATAAAAATCATATTAATAATTAAAATAAAAATAATTTAAATAATAATAATAATAATAATTTTTATTAAAAAATAATTTGGTCATCTTTATTTTTTTATTTATTAAAAAAATATTTTTTTAATCATTTACATTAATTAAATCACTCATAAATTTTCTTTTTATTTTTATATATTTTTTATCATCTTTCTCTTAATCCAAACAATCTCATTTTTATCTTTTTTTAAATTTAATTTAAATTTGTCCTTTTCTGAATGCATAGTTTTTTACCTGATAAAAGTTTAATTGTATAGAATGTTAATATATGTCCATAAGTAGTATTAAAGGTCAATTATTTATATAAAATATTAATAATAAAGAAAATTTTTTAAAAATTATAAAATACAAATAAAAATACAGACGCTTTAATGTTTGCATGTTTATAATTGTATAATTAATTTTTTTAAATGTTTTTTAATTTTTACTTTTCTCTCTATTTTTTAAATATACCTATTTTTTATTTCTTAGTTACATAACATATATTTTTATCTCATATTTTAGAAAAAAATTGTGACTTTTACTTATCTGATTTAATCAAAATGTATACGAACTTAATTTTAATGTTCTTTTTAATGGATTAATATATTTCATATCTGGATTCGTTGGATTCTGAATATGTTTATTAAATAACTTAATATTCTAAATATGTTTATTAAATAACTTAATTAGAATTTGTGATGATAAATCATAATAATTTTGAGTGAAAATTTAGCAATCATGTTACTTAAACAAGTCATTAACAACATCATAGGTAATTTTTCTTAGATCTTTAAAAATAAAGAATTTACGTAGATAATATAAAAAGTAAAAAACATATGAAAACTTTTACTCAAGTCATGCAACCGTTGAACAACACCAAACTGTGTTAAACTGTTCTTACCAACTTAAGAAAAACTAAAAAACGTTGACCTCCCTCCACCACTCCTCTCTCTCCATTTCTCCCTCGCTTATTTATTCCACTTCTGTTCTTCTTTTTCGATAAGCCCGTCAAGAACTGAACATGCGCAACAAACCCTTATATAAACACTCTTCCACTTTCTCAATTCTCAGAACCCAACAAAAATGGAAACCCACGCACCCAAATTCTTCTCTTTATTCCTCTCCATTTACCTCTTCGGTTACTTCGTCATCTTCCGAAAATGGGGACCCAAGATCCGACCCGAAGCTTCCAGCTGCCTCATTTCCCTCTTCCACGGCACCCCCGCGGCACTCCTCGCCGCCGCCGCCGTCCTCTCAGCCGAAAACCGTAGCCTCGCCGCCGCTAACACGAACTTCCAGAACCTCGTACTCGACTACAGCGCCGCCTACTTCGCGGCCGACCTCGTCCACCTCGTCGCGTTCTTCACCGGAGGCGGAGACCTCACATTCGTCTTCCACCACATCGCCACACTCTTCGTGACCCTCACGTGCCGCCACGCGGCGGCGCACGGGGCCGTGGCGGTGCTCACGCTATTGGCGCTCGCGGAGGCCACCAGCGCGCTGCAGAACGCGTGGGCCCTCGCGCGTGTGCGTCAGAACGACGCGCCGTTCGCGGCCAGTGTGGTTAATGTTCTGTCGGTTCCGTTTTACGGGTTGTATTCTGTTGTACGAGGTCTTTTGGGGCCATACTTTGTTTTCCGAATGGCGGCGTTTTACTCTGGTGGCGGCGCTGATGGTGTTATTGCGACGTGGGTTTGGATTTCTTGGATCGCTGTGGTGTCCATGGCCATTGCTGGGAGCGTTGCATGGGTTTGGAATCTGTGGGTTGAAGTGTACAGAGAAAGATCGAGGAAAATTGAAAAGAAAACTAGATAGTGCTTTGTTGTAACTTGTAATGAATCTTTAGTTTTGCGTAACATTTAAAGTAAAGTCAAATATAAATTTATGATCCACAAGTTAAAGATATTTTGAATTTGAATATCTTTCAAGACTACAACCACTGGGTCATTATTTTCAAACTATTTGGTGACTCCAAATAACATTAAATAGTGTTATTTAATATTATTTTGGATTATGAGATTTGACTTTTCAAACAATTTATATATATATAAAGAGCGTTAAGAATTACTTAATAATAAAATTAAATATTTTATTATAAATTAACTTAAAATTTGATTAAAGTTATTTATATAAATATTTTTTTTAATTTTAAACAATTTGATTAAGATGTTATTTATAATAAAATATTTATTTTTATTTTTAAACAATTTTTATTAACTACTTTTTTTTTTAATATTTTAAGTCAAATATTATTTGAAATCAAAACTCAAAAGATACTTTATATTCCTCACATAATTAGTTTGCAGGTCATCCAATTGAATAGGTTAGTTGGCCTAGATTTACGAGCCATGATAAAAATAGTTCGTTCAGCAATGTATTATTCTTATTTTTATTATGATAAATTAATATAAATATTATTTTTAATAAATTTATTAACTTTTAATAATATTTATTATTTTAATATTCTCTTTCTAATTAGAATATTCTAGTTATTTTCTTAATAAAAAATAAAATTAAAAGATGAGAATATAATTAATAAAAAAGTGATTAATATAATTTTAAATTTTATCAACGTCATATATTTAAAATATTTTTCTGTTTTTATATATTTTAAACTGGAAGAAATATATAACTTTTAACTACAAATATTCAAGTAATATATAATAAATTTATTAAAAATATTTAAATATTATTCTATTATGAAAAAAATAATCGGTAGATAATAAATTTGATATTAAAATAATTATCTATCAATTTGCTTATATGATAATCTTATATGATTTATTATGAGATTTGATTAGCTATTCACAAAATAGTTCGTCTTTAATTATAGAAATGCGATTTTAGTTCTCTTATTTTTTTTGTTTTGATAATTTTGGTCTCCATAGTTTATAATATTTATAATTAATCTAATCCTAGATTTTTCACATGTTTATTTATTTTTTAATGCTCAGTTAATTAATTTTTTTGTTAATACCTTAAAAGAATATTATAGTGTTAGGGTTCAATTAGATGAAAATAAAATAAAAATTATAAAATTGAGTATTAAACTAAAATTACGAATTTATGAAATTTACGACTAAATATAAAAAATAGAGAGATAAATCGCAGATAAAGATGACCAAAATTGTAATTTAGTTTTTTTCACTCTGCTCTTTAATTCTTTACAAACAAAAATATAAAATTTATTTCTGAAATATTTTTAATTTGAGAAAGAATAAAAAACTTTGAATTGTAATTTTAATTTAATCAACAAAGTAAAATAAAAATTCCTAGAAGCTGTTTTGATTGAAGTAGACGAATGATTGGAGACGAAATTGGGCACATTTGAATAAGAGAAACTATACTGGGCCATGCCAAGTGACAAAATTCCTTTAACGGTGACAAAACAATATAAACTAAAAAAATGGAAAATATTTAAGTTTATGCAAATTATAAGCATCCTTTACATCCTTTCATACTTTGAAAAAAAAAACTGTGTAAATTCTCTATATAAATCCTAAAATATCGTTATTATAATAATCCATTGCGTTAAAAAATAAAATTACATTACTTGTAATTAAATAATATATATAGCGTATATAATATATTTATTACAAAATAATCTCAATTAATGCAAAAATTATAAGATAAAATATTACCTATATCTATCTATGTAAATATAAAAAAATATATATCACTCGACAATATGATTATAATAATTAATTTCAATCAAAATAAGACAGGATGATTATTCAAATATAATAACTTATCAAACCATTTATACATACAATCATCTTATATATTATTTCAAATTATCATTTTATATATATTATTTTTATTATATCACATTTATCATGATTAAATATTTTTTAGAAAATTAGTATTATATTTTAAATTAAATGTTATAATTAATATTACATTAAATATTATTTGAATTTGAGCACCATTTCAGTAATTTTATATATAGAATGACTATTACCAATATTATCTATTTTGATTTTATTAAAAAAAAACTAGAATTGAAGTTCTTCACAATTCTTTTTTCTTCCCCTTTTTCCACTCCACCCATTTAAACTCTTATGCTAATTGTCTCACCACACTTAGTCTCTTAACCATAAGTTAGACATTTTGGGTTATGAGCTTTTTCCTTTTAATAATTTATATTAGTTGTTTATGAGTTTTCCACGTATTCTCCTCATTTTTCTTTTTTTTAATTGGCTTCATTACATTTTCTGCCCATTAAGAATAACCTTATCTCGAAGGTTGTGTTGGAAAATTAATAATAATAATAATAATAATCCTAATTTTGATTCTAACGATCAAACATAAATGTAATCCCATACCTGATAAATATGTTGTAAACTGAATGCGAAAGCGTACTCGAATTAGTCATAATGATGATGATGTCTTTGTAGAGCACTGTATTGATCTTATGGTCTTTCACCTGAAGACCACCTATATTTCCCTCTTGATTTTCTCTCTTGATGGGGATAGAAAGAAAGAAACAGGAATGAAACTTACGTTCTGTCTGTGTGCTCCCAGAAGGGGACCACGACCCCTTAAAATAACCAGAATTAGGTTAATTACTTAAATTTTAGTATTTCCAATTTGGTCCCTCATCAAATTAGAAATTGCTCAATGGTCTCTACACAATTTTATTTTCATGACATATGCCTTTAGCCAAAACTTTAATTTAGTCAGATCACTTTATTATTTGGCTTAATAAATAATGACCCTAACACATTTAAATTATGTATCATATATATACATGACCCAAATTTTGCCAACAATCTCCCACTGGTCACAAATATATATGTCCTTACAAATGTGTTAGACTTTATGAGCTCAAAATTGTCATTATATTCCTTTAGCATACTCCAAAAGTCCTGTCCATTAATCATATCAGGATATAAAACCAAATCAGCTTTTCATTGCATCATCGCAACTAAAACCAACAATGATTACTCATCCTAACATAACCAAATGACATGGATTCATCATGAAATGTGTAGCATGAAAAATTACGTGAAGATGATCTGTACACGTCTATTTTCAACTGGTCCAAACTTTAACTTATCGAGATTGATATAATATCCTTAATGTACAAAGTGTAATGAATGAACGAAAAAACCGCATATCTATAGATAACCAAATATGTCCAAAAATCAATGTATACATATATGAAATTAAACATAGAACATAAAATATATAAAAGTGACTAACTCCCACTAAACCACAAATTCCTCAAACTGTAAAACACCCATGTGAGCAACATGCTCATGAAAGACCTTGGGCGAAAGTCCTTTAGTTAGAGGATATGCTATCATGGAGTTTGTCCTTAAGAGTTCTATGAAAATCTGTCCACTTTGTACTCTTTCCTTAACAATACAGTTGATTTATTGTCACAATATAACTTAAGTGATCTTTCAATGCATTTCATAATTTGCAGCCCTGTGACAAAATTTCTCAGCCATATTCTATGATTTGATGCTTCATAGCATGCTACAAATTCTTGACATCCTACAAAATCTGAGTCAGAAAACCCAGCGATCTCCAACTGGTCTGACCTCCTATATGTGAGCATATAATCTTTTATTCTTTTTAAATATCTTATGACACTTTTTGCTGCTTTTCAATGGTCTATTCCTGGATTGCTTAAATATCTGCCTAGAACCCCAACTATATATGCTATGTCTGGATGCGTACATACTTGGGCATAGATCAAACTCCCTACAACTGATGCATAGGGAATCTTTTGCATTTCCTCAATTTCCAAATTTCCTTTGGGAACTGATTGAGACTAAACTTGTTTCCTTTAAACTTGTGATACATACAATCATCAACAATATTCATCTTGAAGCCAAATGAGTTTCATACCTTCTGGTAATGGGACAAGTTCCCAATAACCTTATTGTCTTACATGGACTTATACTTATCGTATTGCTTCAATCCACTTTTGAGAGTTAGAACCTTTTATAGCTTGACGGAAGTTAACTGGGTCATCTTCCATTATATCATTATTTTCCTCATGTTCTTGAAGAAATACCATGTAATCATCCGAAATAGCACTTCTTCTTTCTCTAGTGGATCTCTGCAAAGTTATTAGCTCATGATACACAGGTTCTTGAGGATCTTGAGTTTGTTCTTCATGAACAACCAAATCATCTTGAGTAAGGGGTTCATCAACAATGCCTTGTGGAGGTTCCAAACTTACTTTATTAAAAGTAACTATTTGAATCGGTTCTGAAATTGTTACCGATTCTTCCTCCAAGATGAAATTCTTAATCTTATTCTTCCCCCCAAACTCAATATCCTCAAATAACGTAGCAGTTCCCGTCTCAAAAATTATCTTTAATGTGGGATCATAAAATTTATATCCCCTGGATCTTTCAGCATAACCAATAAAATAACTACTTACTGTTCGGGAGTCCAATTTCTTTTCATTTGGCTTATAAGGTCTTGCCTCAGCTGGACAATCCCACACATGGAAATGCTTCAGACTAAGTTGTCGCCCAATCCAAAGCTCATAAGGTGTTTTGGTAGCTGCTTTAATTGGTACTCTGTTTAGAATATAAGCTGTCGTATTTAGTGTCTCTCCCAAAGTGATTCCAGTAAGGTGGAATGACAAATCATACTCTCTACCATATCTTTAAGAGTGTAACACAAGCCCAAACGTCACGATTTGATTGTGACCTGAGCACTTGTGCCATAATGCACCTGAGTGAGTATTTTCAATTTTACGTTTAGTACCACGTGATTCTGTATTAAGGGTTTCATTATAGGTGGCCACAATATAAAGTAAATACTGATTATTATAAATCAAAAGTGAACCA